CAACAAGTCCGATACAGTCATGATATAAAAATATTGTATTCAAGTTGTTAACAGCTTGTAACAAGCTTGTTGATATTATCAGATTTGTAGCAAGATTGTTCCAACAAGTCCGATACAGTCATGATATAACAATATTGTACTAGAAAATACATGCATGCAGAAACCCTCGCCTTGCTGACAAAACCGTTGTATTTTCCGAACATGAAGTATCTAAAGTAGTTGTCATGGTAACACGATAATTTTTTAAGAATATTCTTACAAATGAAAATCGCCTAAAAATATCACTTTTAATTACAAAATTATCAATTTCCCAACATATTTATGTTAGGTATGTAATCCCCGAGCCGGCGGCGCGAAGCACCGTGCGAGGGTACTAATTCCCCCCGGCTATTTACACCCGGGGAAACGAAAGCATTAGCGGAGTCTAAAGTTCATCAAATATCGCGGGCGTCGGTCACCAACGATGGGTGGTGGTCATCCTCACTGATCTCAAAAATATGGCCACAGAATAAGGTACACAGAAGGCCGACTTCTTCGTTTTTCCTATGATTTTCCTATGATTTTGGCGTACTCGTGATTCGTCATCAAATGCTGACGCCCAGTGAGCTCTATATATATATATATATATATATATATATCTGGAGTAGGAACTTCTGATGTTTTGGCAATAGGCCAAGTGAAGCCAAAAAAATCCAAGATGGCGGCCATTGACGTCCAATAGCTCTGAAGGTCGTAAACAGTTTTTATACCATTTTCCCCAGCTAATTCCAGTTTTTTCTGATGGACCATATCACTAATCAAGTTTTCAGTTCATAAAATCACAATATTATTCTTTAAATCGAAGTCAAAATACGAAATTTCAACACACTCCTTGCCAAGATGGCGGAAATTGAAGGAGCTGTTGGACGCATTGAACTATAAATAAACTGGAAGGCTAACTGCTATGATGAAGGCCTATGATTTGATGAAGCCAAAATAGTTTTTCTGAGTTATGAGCAGAAATACCTGACCCCAAACGTCGGACTATATATCAAATTGAAGCTATTGAAAATTGCTATTCGGTGTGGAAATTTCAAGACTTCAGCGAAAAGAAAAATATTTAAAAAATACAAAAACAACTGCAAAACGGCAAATTATCGGTAATTATGTTTGTAGTTTTTCAATATTTCCCTTTTAGCTAAAGTCTTGAAATTTCTACACCAAATAGAGTTTTTCAATAGCTTCAATTTGATATATAGCCTAGCGTTCAGTGTTGAGTATTTCTGCTCATAACTCAGAAAAACTAAAATGCACTGGCTTCAATTTCCCCCCCTGAGTTAGCCTTCCAGTTTTTTTATAGTTCAATGGTTGGACGTCAGTTCCAGTCCCTTTCTATTGTTTTTGTATGCACGGTTAACACGAAACTGGCTTCACTTTGAGCAACCAAGTTCCTACTCCAGATATATATGGAGCTCACTGCTGACGCCATGGTCCTAGCCAGTGCGCGCCTGAGAGGCATTCACCCCCCTGATATCATTCAAAATGGCGGATGTCCAGGGGGGGGAATGCCTCTCAAACCCGCACTGGCTAGGACCATGGCGTCAGCATTTTGATGATGAATCATGGCGTGGCAGCGTTACTCGAGTCACAGAATAGGAAATTATACCAGAAGCGTAACTCGAGCAAATGTTTGTCCTCATTTTTACAAGCGATTCGTCATCAATCACGCCATCCTGGCTAGTACAACCGGCACTTTGTACCTACCAAATCCTGATAAAAACTTCCGGCTGTACTAGCCAGGATGGCGTGGCCTGACGTGAGCGAGTTAAAAATTTTCGTGGACGTCAAACAATAAGGGAAACGACTAGAGTTACGCTTCTGGTATAACTTCTTATTCTGTGCTCGAGTCGACCTTCTGTGTACCTTATTCTGTGATATGGCGGACTGTCATGAATAACGGACACTGATTGGTCCAATTTAAAGTTTGCATTATAACGGCTGTATGACGACAGCGAAATAGCAAACATTTCTTGATTTGATGAGTTGATGATTGATAAATTTCTTGCAAATATTCTTCATTTTGGCTCGTATTTCTGCAAGATTTTGTAAATTTCAAGAAGAAAGGGC